TTTAGTGCACAACTAGGCATAGACAGCCTGAAATCTTGCCTGTCTGATAGCCCTGACGGTCTGTCTTATAACTAATATCCAGCCGTAATCCAGTCTTCCTTTTTCTATGATATGACAGGGTTCAATTAAGGGCTGCAGATTGAAAACAGCATGTGTTGCCTGGGAGTGTAACTCTCATCTATCTGGGGCAGACTGAGCATGTAATGTTCAGTTTGAAAAAGAGTGAAATATAAGAAATACATAAAGTTGAAGCATCTATTACTGTTAATATATGCTATCTCAAAGGTTTGCAGACATTGATCTTTAGTCTTATGTATTATAATGATGTTATGTACCAAAACAGTTTACTTCTCCTATCCTAGTTTCTTTATATTTAGTACAAGTTGTCCTCCATGGTTGCCATAATAACTTCGTACAACCAAATGTAACTGGTGAGCCAGAGAGTCTCCTGAGCTCACTTTCCCAGAAGTTTGTGTGCATAGATTGGTGCTGTCAACTTCTCACCATCAATGTGTTCAATTATTTACATGAAGGAATGTCTACCAAAAACCAAACTAAGTGAGTTGGTACTCTAAAACAAATATATAAATAATGCGCTAAATAGTGTTCTCCCTCCAAAAGTATCCAATGCTTCTGTAAAATCAAAAGCAAACATGCGTATACAAAGCGGCGAATGGCTCTAGATCAAGTGAGTGGTTTTCACAGTTCTCTATTATCATTGGTTTTTCCAATCTGATTGCACTATGTAGATCTCTTTTTTCTTTTTATCAGAATTGAATAAAATCAATCTGCTCAAGTACATTTGGTAGTAGTTTTCCAGAATGGTTGTATATACTGCATCCTAATATTTGTATATTTTTCTACTTTTATCACACAATATTTTGTTTTTATTATATAGGAATCTCACCAGCAATTCCAAAGAAAGCAGTTTTTAATCCTCATTAAAATAAACACACCCTTGTCTAGACCCAAACTCCATTACTAGATATGGACCTATTTCGAAAGATGTTTTTCTCTGGAATGATATTGTGAAACATTGAATGGGAAAACAATTGGAAACTTGCATGTCATGCAACAACATGCATAGCTCACCCTTGGCTTGGCTTTTTTAAAATAAATCTCAACCATGTCTTGCAGAGTCAATGCCTTCTTGACACGTACAAAGAATTTAGTTTTGTCCAACAAGCACAATTATCTGCCAATATTCTGGCAGTCAGGAAGCGGTTAAAACTATCTCCATGCTACACCCATCTTTGTGCCAAGATAGGTTTAGGGTTAGTGCTGCCCTTCTTATTTCTTTAAATTCTTCTATTTTGACTCTCTATTCATCAGGAGTTTTGTCCTATGCAATTCCCTTCTGCCGCATAAACCTGCTATCCTTTCTCTAAACAAGCCTTACTCTTCTTACCCAACCTTATATCGCATGCACTCCATTCACTCCTTCTTTCCCATCCAAAATCTCACAGGCCATTCCCTCTCTGTTAGTGACATTTACCTGGACCACTAGGCTTCCTCCATCCCTGTCAGCATTACTGATGCTTCTCTCTCCTTAACTACATCTCTTACAGTCAGTGGCTGCCTGTGTCAATTTGACCATTGATAGATTACAGACATTTGCCCAGACACACTTCAACTCAACTAAATTAATAGGATGAGGCCTCCATTATTGACCTTTTTTTACCTATACTATCCATAATGAGTTTGCTGCCAGGAACCTTCGCAATAAACTGGAGAATTTAGTGGACTGACCCACCATAGTTAGCGCTAAAGGCACGTCTTCAAATGCCTAAATCAAGCTTGCTCATACCCTCTATATACCTTTTGTTCCCCAATCTTTACTAGCGGAGCCTACACCATAGACAATTGATTTAAAAATTATTTTTTTTACTATTTTAACATTTATTCTATTGGCTAACCACTACTGATTAGATTTGTGTGTATTACATTATATTATATGACTCCCACTACATATTCAGCCTGCACATAATGTGAAACGATACTTTATAATATGTTTAGCATTTGCCATTTTATAATTCTTGTTCTTAAGTGCTCCATAGACTCTGTCCATAACCAAACACAGATGTCATCCATATGTCGTTGAAATGGGAATTCCACTAGTTCTACTACAGTTTGTTATTTCTTTCACATAGAAACGTGCATGCAAAAGCAGCAAAAATAATATCTACATTCAAGTGATATGCGTAAATAAACTAGCATGAAAAGAGAACATTTTTTGACGTTATTTAGCAATGGTTTATTACTAGAGTGAATGTAATATCAAAGAGTTCTAAATTGTTCAATCATGTTCATTGTTCATTTTGTTTAAATGTTCATCAATATGTTCGTTCTCTACTATTCCTTGTGTTTCTTATTCAGTTATTTCCTATTTTTCTATGTCATGTTGAGATGGGGATAAAAGTGAGAATAACCCTTTCTAAGCCAGATGGATACAATCCCAGGAACTTAAAAAATGCCGAGAACATATTTCCTTTGCAAATCTTCTCAGGCTTTAGCATGGATTTTGTTTAACGTTAATACATAACACTAGTAATCTCTCTGCACTGTTTACTTTACATTTAAGGATTACTAGGACTTGAAGTGTTCCAATGCAGTACACTAATTCCATCTAATTTTCAGCTTGTGTTAAATTCCTATCAGTACTAAAGGATTTTCCGGGTTTCGATACTGCATAAGCAGACATGGGTGGGTTGTCTCATTAGATACAGTTTAGCTTTATAATACTCTACAGTAGCATATTAAAAAAATAATAATCATTAAAAAAAATAATGTGTGTAAATATATATTTAAATTGCAAAATTTGTCACTGTGTTGAAATAGGAAAGTAACTTAATATTAGAGTAATTTAACATTTAATTGTTTAATTCTATTTATACTAAGGAAAAGGGTATAGCATGACAAATTTGTAAAAACATAGAATATGCAATTGCATTACATAATACATCTATAAGCCCTTGCATAACACGTTAAAATACTGAACAAAATGCTTTCTGGGTGTTGTAAAACATACAGCCATAAAAGTCCAAAAGAATAAAATATTAATTGTCCACGTGTTGTAAATCTGGAGCTGTGAAAGTGTTTCCTTTGTTGGCAACAGTCCTAAATCCACAAAGTAACGCAAGACCACACAGGCCACTGGTATAGAGCAGACCCATTATTATGAACTAAAGCAGTACCAAAGCAGAATTACACCTACACACACTGTCAGTGAAAAATGAAATGTGAGAAATCCAAAAAGGGATTTTATTTCAAACTTGTGGATGGAATGATTCAAATAAAGTGTAGCACTCCATTCTAACCCCAAGCAGTAATCTATAGTACACTGAATGAAGCCTTTGTATTACATGAGTGAGTCTGCACCACTACAGTTATCTTATTATATTAAAAAACAATAAATAAGTACATTGACAGAGAAAGCCGTTTCTGCTATATATAACATTGCCATCAAGCATGGATCTGTGTGACATCGGATGTTTGGAACCTCCTCATAATGTGATAAGTGCTTGTGGTTCTATCTCAATATCACAAACTCCCATGTATAACCAGTGTAGATTCAGATCAGGAGCGTCTGAGTATGCAAAATCACACTACATGCATATGGATCTATTAACTACATGCATATGGGTCTATTAACCGGTAGACATCCACTGAGGGCAGACTTGGAGCTGCAATGTAAACCTTGCAGTTTCTATTGACGGCAATGTTTTACATTGCAGCACTAAATGCAATAGGGACATTGCACACAGACCACTTCAATTAGCTGAAATGGTCTGGGTGCCTATAGTGTCCCCTTAAGTGTCTGTCTAGGATCTCCATGACTGTTAGGTGATGGTAGGTAATTTTGGGTCTATGACGTGTAGCTGCTGCATTTGTATAGCTCCACCATGATCATACATAACTGATCAATGCACAGTATCTAAATAATAATAATAGCTGTATGTTTACATTACCTCTTGTTTTTTTATAATGCTTACCTTGAAATGATCTACCTTTGGTCAAACCTACTGGTGGCTTTTCTCAGTACTATCTCCTGCATCTGGCCTGCACACATAACATTTTCACACTACTTTGGCATAAAGGACATGCAACTCATAAATAACTGACAATCGCCTTGTTTTGCTCCAAGTATATCACTGAGAAAATATGTGAGAAAAAAAACTGTAATATTGGGTTATCGGTTTCGTCAGAACATATATAGGTGGTTTAGAATGTTTTGTAAAAGTGGAAGTTGGAGCAATTATTCAAGTCCTAAAATGAGTATGTGTGTGTTTATGGGAAATACGTAATAATGATTAATGATTTCACACAGTGTGTGCGGGTTTTATCTTGTAGGTAATAGCCTGCTGCTGCGTGTGCTCCCATCGCTGTATGACATGCAACCCCAGCCAATAAACCACTGCTTGGGAGAACTGATTTACCAGATGCCTCAGTTAGACGAAGGCGAACAGCATCATATGCTAAAATTATTACAAGAAGTTGCGAAAAGAAAACAACCCAAGGTAATAGCATTTAACTAATCCTGCTGGGTTCCTTGACAGTGATTTTATGTGTTGTACCAGGGCTTGCACTTTATTAAGCTTTTCCTAACAGCCCATTATATTTGTGTGTACTTACAATAACAAAGAATAGGCCGAATCCCAGGTGACTGACGGAATCCAGCAACAGAAATAAAATAATCCAATGCGTATAAAGAATGAATGGTACAAAACAGCAGTAACTATTAACATGTACTATTATCCAAAGCATACAGGATAATTCCCCAAACTCCATATTTCAAAAACAAATGGCAAAATGAAAGCAAAAATAGCCAAATTGTGAAAATAGCTTAGTTGGAGATTGTTGCCTAAATTTTCCATTCAGATTTCAAGTTATTATAATTCAGGGTTATTCAGTAATTGTTTTTTTTAATTTGGCTGAACTGAAACCTCTCAGAGTTGATTGGAACAAACATTTCTTCAAATATGTCCTAAATCAGTGTTCCGCAACTGGTGTGCCAAGGCAGCACTGTGCTAGCTGTGCTTGCCAGAGCCGGCCTGTGCATGGTTCCCATTCCCAATGGGGCTTTGACCCAGGCAGCACTTTGACAAGGCATCATTTTGTTACCTCTGTACACGTTAACTCAAAGACTGCTCTCTAGCTAGGCAAGTTACATGCAGAGAGGGCCCGTCCATTGGCCCCAGTGGAGCTATGGCTCCTAGCGGCACTTTTAGAAGGGGGCGGCATTTTGTGCTGTGCAGAGTACGGCCGCCTATCTGTATATATATATATATATATGTGTGTGTGTTTCCGGTCCACTGCTAGCTTACACAGTGAAGTGACGGTCTGGCAGTGTAAGCTTCCCCTCCAGCAGCAGGTACTCCTCTCGCAAGTCGCGAGAGCACGGCTATGGGTTGCCATGGGAATGCTCTGGCATGCAGTGCGTGCTGCTCGTAGCGTTGCATGCAACCTGTACCCATGCCTCGTGGTTTTCCTGCTGCTGAAAGGGAAGTTTACACTGCTGGACCATCAGTAAATAGGTCAACATGCTTTGCCACCGGACCACCAGGGAATCCATTGCCCCCCCTTCCCTGACCACAGGTAAGAGGCAGGAAGAGGGGAATAAACAATTAAACATATAAAAAACAATCATGCACTACATAAAGACAGACCCTGCACCCAGCACAAAGACATTGAACCCACCACACACACTAAATACACCACAAAGACCCTGCATCCACCATAAAGACACTGCACTCACTAAAGACACTGCACCCACCACACACTTCATGCACTACACAAACACTGCCCACACCATAAATACACTGCACACACTACACACACTTCACACACTACACAGACACTGCACCCACCACACACACTACATGCACTAAACAGACACTACACAAACCATAAATACTACAAAGACACTGTGCCCACTACACACACTATATGCACTACACACACTGCATCCACCACAAAGACAGTGCTGCACCCACTACACACACTGCACAGGCACTACACCCACTACATGCACTGCACCCACTACATGCACTACACACACTGCACCCACTACAAAGACACTGCATCCACTATGCACACTGCAACCACTACACACATTTCATCAACCTGCACAAACACAGATACTTCACACACTCAGGGTTGGCCATAAGATGGCACATTAGGGTGCATCAGTCAGGGCTTCAATATCCGGGCCATGGGTGAGCGACAGGAGGAGCGCACACAGAGCTCCACCTCCTGCAGATCACTTCATGTAGCGTGACTGAGCAGACAATTGTGGCCGTGGTTTTGGTTGTACGGGGGCAGCATTTTATCTTTGGACCCAGGCAAACTGACTGTGATATTTATTAATTGGCAAACTTCCTGTATTTATTAATGGGCACAATGACTGTGATATTTATTAATTGGCAAACTGACTGTATTTATTAATGGGCACAATGACTGTGATATTTATTAATTGGCAAACTTCCTGTATTTATTAATGGGCACAATGACTGTGGTATTTATTAATGGGCAAACTTACTGTATTTATTAATGGGCTCAATGACTGTGATATTTATTAATTGGCAAACTTACTGTATTTATTAATGGGCACAATGACTGTGGTATTTATTAATGGGCAAACTGACTGTGATATTTATTAATTGGCAAACATGATGTGGTGTTTTTAATGGGTACCTGGCTTGGCATATGTTTAATAGGTAAACTGACTGTGGTATATTTTTAATGGGAAAACTGACCGTGACATGTTCTAGGGGAGAAAGTGACACTGTTCTGTGTATGAACTTTATTACAAGGATTTTTTAAATGTATTTTTTTCTGGGAAGAGCTTTGGTGTACCTTGGGTGAGAAAAGGTTGAGGAGCACTGTACTGAACTGTAGATGATGTACTCCAAAAATGCACAATATTCTTCCATAGACATGTGCAATTCGGACAAATTTCGGGCAATTCGGACATTCGGGTACTTCCGAATGTCCGAAAAGCCAAAGTGCCGAATAGCCGAAGTGCCGAATAGCCAAAGTGCCGAATTACTGAGGTGCTGAAGTGCCGAAGTGCCGAAGTTCCGAAGCACAGTATTGCCTAAGTACTAATATACCTACCCAGTGGAAGAAGAAGAAGAATGTTACACTGTATACAATTTTAAATAAAAAGTATACAAACATAGCCAGGATTCATCTGTAAGCATTTGCAACACTTACAACAATCAAGTAACATACATTCATATAAAATGTAAGTTACTTGGCAAGTCAGTGTAATGACAGGAATAAATAAGTACATAATTCCCTAATTCCCACGGTATTAGGGAACTATCTACTAAAAGGCTGAAAGACCTGAATTGGTCTTTGAGCCAAATTTACTAATACTAAGTAAAGATTACTTAGTATTAGTAAATTATGCCCCTACTCGCTATACCGCGAGTAGGGGCATGTCTATTAAACAGTGAGCAGCCACAGGCTGAAGGGGGGACCTATTGTCCTCCCCCCAGCCCCCACCCATGAGCGGCGGGTGGGGGCCCTAAAGTAAAGTAATGGGGGGACCTAATGTCCTCCCCCTGTCCCCCACCCCTAAGCAGTGGGTGGGGGCCCTAGATTAGAATGAGGGGGGAGGACCTAATGTCCTCCCCCTTGCCCCCACCCCTGAGCGGTGGGTGGGGGCCCTAAAATACAAATTTAGGGGGGGACCTAATGTCCTCTCCCCTGGCCCCCACCCGTGAGCGGTGGGTGGGGGCACTAAATACTAATTGGGGGGCCTAATGTCCTCCCCCCGGCCCCCACCTCTGAGCAGTGGGTGGGGGCCCTAAATAAAAAAATAACTCCCCCTCCCCCGGGTGACTAGGGGTCCCCAAACCCCCACCTACCCCCCTCACCCTAAAAATAAGAGGGGGGACCATTTAACTAAGTACCTGAAAAAAAATAAAACTTACCATTTGATTTTTTCTTTCTTATAAAATCTTCCTTTTTCAGCCCCAAAAAAGGCCAAATAAAAAAACATAATAACCGATGCACTTAATAAAAAGAAAAACGAACGCAAAAAAATAATAATCCATCTTCATCCGGCGAGGGCTCCACGCAGACTGAGCTCTGCATGGCAGGGGAAGGCTTATAAAGCCTTGCCCCGCCCTGCAATTAGGTTCAGAGCACTCTGATTGGTGGGTTTAAGCCATCCAATCAGAGTGCTCTGACAGGTAAATGAAGAGACAGACAGGTAAGTCTCTACATTTACCTGTCACAGCACTCTGATTGGTTGGTTTGAAATCCACCAATCAAAGTGCTCTATGTCATTTTACACAGTGTGGGAATGTTCTTTGGAATTTTCCCACGCTGTGTATTTTGACTCATAACACTCTGATTGGTGGATTAAGTAACCAATCAGAGTGTTATGAGTCAAATTACACAGCGTGGGAAAATTCCAGTGACCACTGGCTGCTCACTGTTTAATAGACATGCCCCTACTCACGGTGTAGCGAGTAGGGGCACAATTTACTAATACTAAGTAATTTTTACTTAGTATTAGTAAATTTGGCTGAAAGACCAATTTAGGTTTTCAGCCTTTTGGTAGATAACTCCCTAATACTGTGGGAATTAGGGAGTTATCTACCAAGCGGCTGCAAGATACTTTCCGAAATTCCGAAGTGCCGAAGTTCCGAATTGCTGCAGTGCCGAATTGCCGAGGTCCCGAAGTTCCCAAATTACTGAATTTCCGAAGTGCCGAATTTCGGAATGCCGAACCGAAAATTTTTCCCATGCACATGCCTATTCTTCCATAAGCCATATCCATTGATATGTAAGTGAAATGCAGCATTTATTTTAACAACTGCAAAAAAGAACCAACACATTGCATTTACCAGCCAGATCGCTGACTTACTTGTAAGAAAACCTAAAATGTATTATCTTATACTGGGCGAGCTAGGAAAGGGGAGGGGCGGCAAGTGTGTGTCTGCCCAGGGTCTAACCGGAGAAAACAGCTATGAGAAAAATAACAAAAATGAAAAAGGCAGGAAAGCGAAAGGGTCCAGAATGATGAATTAAGTTTTTCTACTGGTATCTGGAATCTGCCAGTATTGCAACTGGATTTTTGGAGGAACAGCAAAGAAGACCAGTAAGAGAGGATGGTGGGGGGGGTGTCGGGGCCCGACCTGCAAGATTGCCGGTCGTGTTTTTCAGTAGCTCCCAGCGACTCAGGCAAATATAAAGCTCATTAAGCTACAAACTCGGGTACCTGTGCCCACCAAGCCACAGAAGCATCACCACTGCAACCATGCACAACCACCAAGCTCACGCAAGACTATGCTGAAACAACCGCCTCTTGGGCCTACAGGACTGGAGGACGGGGCAAGAAGCGGCCGATCTCCCCTGACTGTGCGCGCGCACACCGCTTGCCTTCACAGCGCTGATCTCCCCCCCCCCCCACATGGACCGGTGGGGGTTATCCCGGTCTTCACTGGGTCAATTTACCTTGGAACCCACTCAGCCTGAACCACTTGAGACTGTGTGGCGCAACCAACATGGCCGCCATGCCAGACCTGAAACAGAGCAACACAAGCCCAGAATGCCGAGAGTGGAGCAATCTCTTCCTCAAAAGATTTGACACCATCTGCCAGAGGTTCTGGCTTCGAATAGAGAGTAGATCCTACGCACTCACCCCTTCTACCTTAAAAATGACCCGGAGAGATATCCCAATAGCTCATTCCTCTGCTGGGCAGGGAACCCAAACAGGGAAATCTCCACTTTACCATCCACATGCCTGGAGGCCATCCCGTAAGCCAGTGCGCCCGCCGGCCCACAATCCTGCCACCTTGACACGAGAATTCCGTGGACATAAGGTACGGGCTCCCGGACAAACCTGGGGGCGAAGATATGCGGCACGACCGTCCTACAGTTCGAGAGGCAAGCAGCAAGGGGGATATCCAGATACACCGACCAAGGCTAATGCCAGAGGGAAGAGATGCTGATCCTGATATGGGGAAGAGCTCTATACCATGGCCCATCCGAGGCATTGGGTGAACATAACTGTTTGATACCTCATGGTTTTTGCTTCTTTTCAGTTACAAATGTTTCTCTTATTTTTGGGTTGCCTTTGTGTTACTCATGACCCAGTGGCATCAATCTCAGGCACACTGACATAGCTTGTATATCTTAAATGTGTGCAGCTTACAGCATATAGAGCCTGAACACCTATCTTCTATAAGACCATACCCCATGTATAAATCCTGTTAATTTAAGATACATCCCAAGCTGCAATAGAAATGTAAAAGTCTGTGCCTAGACACTGTCAGTGTTTTAAAATTTTGATCAAGCTTGTTTAGTACCTGCTAGTAGTTCTATCATTTCTCTCTGGTTTCAAGCGCAGACCTATGATTTAGCCTGTTTACTTAAAACATAAAAAATGTGCAGTTCTTAACTTGCCATGACACTGTATTAACTTGTGACCTTGCAATAAGCTTGCCAATGTCGTTGTGGCATCACAAGCCGGTATGTTATTCCGTGCACTAAGAAAATAAAGATTTTTTTAAAAAAAAGAAGAGGATGGTGGAATGAATTAACTCTGGATGGAATTCACTGACGATATTAATACTGTTGATATGAACAACAGAATTGAGGAAGTCATGAAGAAACTGTAAGTCCATTTTACGTAAGCACCCACGCATACTGCACAATTTACTCATAAATATCACATTTACATTTATATATTATACCTTGATGCGCTCCTGTTAGGGCATGGGAGTGCTGTAATTACACATTTTCTACCAAATGTTAATATTTTTTTTATTTTGTTAATCTATTTTTTGTTAAGATGACAGCTTAAAACATAATATATTAAAGATGATATCAGAGTCTGACCGCTTAACATAATAACATGAAATACAATTTGTATTTGGTGGCTCTGTGAGTCTGATTCTTCCCCAGCCACCATTTCCAATTATTTTAATACATGGGATAAATCACAGAAAAACATATTTCACATGTAGAAAAATATTTCAGAGTGATTAAACAAAATGTATAATAAAAAATATAAAGTATCTTCTTTTGAATAATTAGATATCAAGTATGAATTAAAGAGGAAGCTGAGCAAAGCTGTAGACATGTCAGTGAGACCAGCAGCTGTAACACTTAAGGGACCGGCCTAAAGTCTTACTAATAAGAAATCCTGCATTTCCTGAGAGTCGACATTGTTCTGAGAGCTGAAGGAACTCTTTATAAAAGAATATAAAAAGCATTATGTCAGTGTAACATGAACTGCAAATACTGGACATTGATGTAATTCTTCCCTTCCCACTGCGTTGCGATCCCAGCAAAAAGAGGCAAAAATACTAGACCCAAAGTCTTCATCTAAGAATCGCAAAGATCAAGGTGAGTCAATGAAGAGAGCCTTGGGGAGCTGCTAGCGTATCAGAGCTCTGGTAAATGCAGTAATTGGTATAACTCACCAACTTATTATAACATAATACTCCATTGATAATTTAGTCATGTCTTAGATCATTATCTCTCTTCTGGACCTGCTAATAAAGATTGTCCCTGCTAACTGCTGTTGGCACCCTGATGCCACTTGGTATAAGTAATTAATGTAATTTTTATTGCACCATATCATCACTAGCTTAAATACACATTCACAATACCACCCTTTATGCACTGTAGGCTTCTTGAACGCAACATGGTTTTTGGGGCGTATCATTTATACATACTGCTGGGTCGGACTGGTAAGGATACTATGCATATCCCTCAAAACACTTCACAAATCATCAGTGGAACAACCAGTTACATCTATGATACATTTGTCTCTGAAAGTTCTATCACAGGTAATCCAGGACTAAGTGGCTTTGACTCTACATTATTGTTACTGATTCGCAAAGCCCCTAAGACAGGATGGAGCAACATCAGATAAATATGGTATGAGAACTTTATTGAAAGTTTCTTATTCATAATAGTCAGTTTTGTCACACTGCTACAGGAACATAATGTCAACCCAAGGATGCTCATGGATCTGACGCAACAAACAAGAGAGCTCACAAAGATAAAAAAGAAACCCAAGGATTTTTCAACATTGTTAGACTATGAATGTTTCACTAAGAAGATTTATGAGGTTTATGACTAAGCAGACATTTTTGCCTTTTGATAGGATTCTAGCTGTACACAAAAAGAGAAAGTATAAAGAGAACTAATATTTTGGCAAAAAAGTGTTCTAATATTTATCGATAGTCATCTTATATTTGAACCATACTGTTAATAAAAACATCCAATGGCTTTTTCTTAAAGAGATGCCTCTAAACTATAGAATATGTATTGAGCAGTGTCAATGGTGAAATAACATGTATATTATCTTGTACCTATGAAACCGTCATATTCTGTATGTATATAATTATATGTATTATTAATTATATGGAAACTTTGCCTTTTCTAACTTTGTCAATTTTATCTTTTTTATACTCTTTGTTTTTTCCCCATATGCAATGTATAATGTTTTTCTATTAGTTTTCTCTTATTTGTCTCTTATTTTTTTATATTTTTTGATAAAATGTCATATATACTATTGTTATACTTTTCAAAATAATTAAATAAAAAAAATTGGGGGAAAAAAAAACATCAGAGGAGCTTCCCAACTTTTTAATTCCCTGGTCTACCACAATCAACTAATTAGATAAAATGCAATACAAACAAACATGAAAAGAAATGGTCAGTGTAATTGGGCACTGCATTTCAAAGTGGATGGTCAATTCATTACACTTAGAAGTCAAATGGTTGTAATCCACCTGGTTGATTAATTGGCTCCATCTCACAGTCCAGGTCATGGACGACAGTATCAAGTGGCCTTTGGAATACAGTACTGAGAATCCAGTATCCGAACTCAGTAACCCCGTTCCAAAACCAACAGAATGTGGAAATAACAGGGGGCATCTGAAGGCCCCACCTGCATGCTGATTTTGTAAACACGAGATTGCCACACATGGATTGAGGTAGTAAAAAGGACCATTGCAGAAGGATTGACAAATAATTTTCCATTGCCCAAGCTATTATGTATGTCTAGAGAGAAAAATGCCATAATTTGCCTGACATTTTGCTTTATGTGATTTATTAGCAGCCTTATCTTTATTATTATTTATTTTGCATTAGGTTGTATAAATGCCTACTGTTTTCCATTTTTTTTTTATTTATTAATACCCTCCTATTTTTTGTGTACTGTATTTTTGTGTATTTTCCCAAATATATATAACACGATGTAATTAATGGGTTAAATTCCCTTTGAGTATGGAACGCCTCCTTAGGAAAGCTTGTTTTATCAACTAAGTAACTGTGTATTTAAATTGTTTATAGCAGTGTGTGACCTTAGGCTTGACAAAGATCATGTGATTTAGTCGAAATGTTGCCAACTACACTTTGGTGGAATAAATTCCTTTTGGTGTTGTGGCTCCATTATTCTTCATTTAGTTTACTTTTGGGTTTTCACAGAAGGAAACCCCAGGAACCTGCACCCACTTGTATTCCTGCCAGTATTAATGGCCCCTCTCTACTTTTAATCTTGAGTGAGGGGAGACCAACTTGATTGTTTATAAATTTTACTTTTTCATTCTTTAATACCTGCTTAGTCAAGTGGGAAAATCAGGAAGGACCAACCTGAAATCCCAAGATCGAACAATTAACAATTAATGTTGGTACAGATCTGTATTCAAGAAAAACTGACCTAAAAGGAACACTCTAATCACAAAAACAGCTTTAGATTAATGAAGCAGTTTTGGTGTATAGATTATGCCCCCGCAGTGTCACTGCTCAATTCTCTACAATGTATGAGTTTAATCACTTTGTTTATGCAGCCCTACCACAGTCTTCCTAAACACTTCTTGTAAAGTGAGATCTAATGTTTACACTTCCTTTATTGCACAGACTGTTTAATTTAGAACTTCCTGTAAAGTGAGATCTAATGATTACACTTCCTTTATTGCAAATTCTGTTTAATTTAGAATTATTTATTTCCTGCGCTGTTAATAGCTTGCTAGACCCACCAGGAGCCTCCAGAGCTGGAGATAAACACTTATAAAGTATGTTAAAATACCATTGAAGGGGGGCGGAGTCTGAACGCAGAAGCAAGCGGCCGCAAGACCCAAGAGCTCCGGTACACAGCCAAGAAAACACGGCTTTTTAGCCACCTTACCCGCAGCCATCAGGTCCTGGGGAACCCCCACACAACGCCTAACTACCATGGGGCGGTAAAATAAAAAACAAAGACCTGATAAGAATAACCTGGGGATGATGGTCGGCGACTTATGGCGCCAGGCGCAGGGCACGACAGGACCTAAAATAGCCGCCCTCTCTGACTGCGGATCCGACTTCTTGGATTCTTTTTTTGGGCGGAATGGAGGAATTGAGTAGTGAGACTGCAGGGGCATGATCCATACACCAAAACTGCTTCATTAAAGGGACACTCCAGGCACCCAGTACAGGATCCTGCAGTGCCAGAAAAACGGATATGTTTTCCTGGCACTGGAGAGTTTCTTTAAGCTAAACTTTAGGTGACTGTAGTGTCCCTTTAATGTACTCCAGAAAGTCAAATGTGTTTTTTTTTGCCATAGGCAACTTAAGATGATCAGCATATATTGGTTGCAATGACAATCTTTATAACTAACTTGATTTAAATGAATGAGAACTTTAAGCTTTCTGTTATACTAGCTTGCATTGTCCAAGATAGACGTTTATGTCTAAAAACTCTTGAATGGTGATTTTCTGACCTGGTGCTTTTATACTTAGAAAGTATAATGTATTTGCCGTTGAACATTTTATTGTTATCTTGGACTTGAAACCTTGCTTTGATATGATTTTTCCATACCCCTCCACACACTGGGACCTGACCTTGGTATTCTCTGACTAAACAGTGAAAGTAACCTAGTGTGTAAATGAACTCACCCTGCCCTGATCTTACAATGCTTCCTATCTGATAGATCTCATTCTGTCACATCTTTAAAAAATTACATAATGATTCAAATTTAGCTTGTGTTAAGGTTGTATAACTTCATTAACTACAATTCATCTTAGCGTACTACTTTTGGGATTACCTCCTACAAAGAAACACAGCCTGAAGTGTCCCCCTTTTGACACTTCATCCATTGTATCTTTAATCTAATTATATAAAGTGAACGGTGAAACAAATTCAACCGTGATCCTGGCAGCTCCAAAATATTACTTATTATTCTTATTATATTACTTGTTATTCTCTAGCTTATTTAGTTAAGAATGAACAATTATTTTTTTTGAAAAAGTAGTGGTTTTAAGCTGCACTCACTAATGTCAGCATTGCTCCAGCATATTTGTTTTTCTCATATCTGCACTAAAGGAATAATTCCCCAACTTCATCTCCAGGCAGTAGTGTTTGAATGAAGGAACCCTTAGAAAATATTGAGGATTGCTTTGTTGTAAAAAATAATATTACTTTTAATTGCGAATTCATTAATTAATGATTTAACGGATGTTCTTATGTCTGAGAAGTACAGTGGATTAACCTCAGCATCATAGACGCAGAGGGTGGGAGGCATGGGTGGATAGATTACCCAAATAATCTTGTAGAAGGAAGTGAGGCATCAAATCCTCCCCCAGTGTCCCTTTTAAGTATATTGGCTGACGCATACATACAGTAATATGAGCGAGGCCGGGAACTTAAAGAGTAAATGTCACCATAACACCATTGAATTAAACACTGATAGTCATGTACAACTTGCATTAACCTTTTTTTTACGAGGAGGCAAAGCCAGGGCAAACATTGCAAATGAGTTTAAATAGAAAAATAGTTTGTCTTTTTTTCTCTTGTCGATATGCTTTCTTTATGCTGACTGTCATGTGCAGAGGACAGAGCTCATGACAATGATTGTCAGGGAGGCACCCATTTACAGATTTAAAGATTTGTGGATTTTTACATTTAATTTTATTTTTCACACCTTACAAATAAATATTAGGTAAACGCATGGATAAATAGTAAAAAAGTATAATATTAAGAATTAAAAAAGGAAGTGAAAGTTTTCCTTGTGACATGTTCAACTTACTTATCTTCATACAACCACACGTGCTATGATGGGTCCAAGGCTTATATCATTTTCTGAGAGATTTGTTGGTTGCAGGCAGCTGTACAGGCTGTACAGGCTTATGATGCTTTATTTTCCTCCCTGGTCATTGTGGAGCAGCCTTGATATGAAGGCACCTTCCCTCTGAATTGGAGTTGCAGCCACACAAAGACCTTAATGGAGCAGGGACGCAGGTAAATCAATACAACTAGCACATGTGAGGTAGGAAGATATTGAATGTAAGGCCAGATCTAAATGAATTAGGGAGCTTAATGTCTTTCGATGGCTCCCCTCAATGATATTCAGTGGCCCCAAGACTGGTCCTCTATTCATGTTGTGTCTGTCTTACGCAGTCTTCATTCATGGTGCCACCATAATACCTTTTGCAAGGTGGAGGTCACAGGAAATCTTCTCTGCCCTTGCTAGGTCCTGTACGTTAGCCTGATGAGGACCTCTGGGGGTTTACGTCACTGTGTTGACTCTTGGGATCCCACGAGAGTTAACACAGAACTGATGTTGTGACCCTACAGGAACTGACACAGTGCTGGAGGAAGGTGAGTACTAAATGACCTGCCAATGACAATGTTGACAAAGGCTGCGGAACTTGACTAATGCTTCAGCCATTGCCAACTTTTGTTAACCTGCAAATTATAAATAAGAAAAACAGATTAACACAGGCCCCGACACAAGGTACCACCACTATATTATCATTCAGGTTGGTAAACAAAACCAATTACTTTAGTTAAGTATTCATTAAAAAAAAAAAAAAAAACTAAAAACAAAGAAACAGAGTGAATGGATCAAAAATGTATATATTTTATATATTTCCCTATACAATTCTGTAGAGAAAATTCAAATTCTCTATAGGAAAGCATTGATTCAGGGCGTTCATTACACATTATAGAGGCACATGACAGAACACACATATAAGTCTAGTATGAAGCTATGGTTTAACAATTATTGGTGCTTGATTGAGTATCACCGTTTTATCTTGAATTATAACTAACACTAAGTTGAAAGTGATATTCCTTAGTGGAAGAAGGTTCCAATAATGAAAGATTAAGTAACTATTTATTAAATAGTCCAAGTGCAAACTGCTTCCATCGAGGTCAACATTTGAACTATATCTCCTTTATTTACTTCAGTGGTCAGTGTACAGAGTGTGCCATTTATATGGGATAATCTAAATTACCAGCGTGCATTGACACCCATTATAACTGTTGGGAGACCGAACGACCATTTTAAATGTTGAATTACCCTTTTATTTTTAAATGTTAATTCAATCTGGCTGCACTGAGATATGAGAAAAGTATTAAAACAGATTGTTCCAATTAGACTTATCAATCACTGTATTGAGAAAACCCACACCAAAACAAGTGACCGGTGAGTGCAGCTATTTTATAATGCGGGGTAGATCCAATGCAAACAGTTTTTAGAAATTATCCAAAAATATTACATTATGTCATAAAGAAAAACAGTGAGGAATGAGCATTAAAAATAAACTTCCAAATTAAATGATTATAGTAACACATAGCTATTTACTCTATAATATCATAAGTATGTTTTAAATGTATGGGCAGTCCCTTTTCCTATTTAATATTGAAGAAGATACATTTATTTCATTTTGTAATGCACATATTTCTTAGCACTTTTTTTATTTTATTCACTTATTTTTTGGTATTCAAATTTCAGACAGGATCTTTGTGAAGATTCTGCATCTTAATCCAAAACGTCAAATTCACAAAGTTATCACTCACTAGATCTCCTAGAAGATGAAATACTTTAGGATCTGCCCATCCCATTTATATTTTTATCTTGCCCA